AACTAAGACTATACAAATTTAAGAAACACAATGGCAACATTCAACAATTAGACTTAACAAAAACCTTCTTTTAAAACCTCATGAACTTATTTTTAATTTGATATGGCAAATGATTTTGATCCTTAAATATCCATCCATCCATCTTTAGCAACTTATCTGGTACTAGGTCACAGACGCAGCAGCCTAAGCCTCCCTTTCACATCAAACAGCTTATCTGGGGTCCATCCCAGGCCTCTTCCCAGTAGGACATGCCCAGAACACCTCACCCAGAGGTGCCCAGTTGGCATCATGCCTGAACCAGCTGGCTCCTATCCATGTGGAGGAATAGCAGCTCTACTCTGAGTCCTTTTCAAATGACTTTACTCCTGCCTGTAAGGAACGGTCCAGCCAAAGATCCACAGTCAGGACGACAACAGCATTGTTTCCCCTGAATCTGAGTTTCAACTAATGGGTTGACTCTCTTCTCCAGTATACTAGCATCGACCTTTTTTCCTTCCCACTGTCGCCAAGTGTTTGCTCAAAGGTGGTTGTTTGACTGCTGGGTTTGCTCTGTATTATTGTAGGATGAGGTGACTGTTGCTGTGATCTGGCACTATTATCTAAAACTGAATTGAACTGATTTGAAACAACCCCCTTTTATTTATAGTACCCTATCACCCAGAGCCTGTCTTTGTCCTGTCTTCATCCACTCACCCCAGCTTGTTGAGGCAGATGGCTGCCTGTTCCTGAGTCTGGTTTTGCTGGGGATTTCTTGCTGTTAAAAGGGAGTTTTTCTTCCTCACTGTTGCCATAGTGCTTGCCCATACAGGGTTATATGATTGTTAGGATATTCTCTGTTTTCTTGGTAATATTGTAGAGTTTTTACCTTACAATATAAAGGGCTTTGAGGCAACTGTTTTTGTGATTTGGTATGATATACATAAAAAATGAATTGAATTGCCCGTGTCCTTGTCTTGTAAAAAACACTCAACTTACAGGCAGCAAGCACACACACACAAAATACTATGAGAATGCTGGATGATTATGCTACACATGGGAAACGTTTAGTAATGAGGTCAGCCAGTGTTTAAGTAGTTTCTAAAGCCCAAAAGCTCGGGCATCAGGCTGCTCTAAAAATTCAGTTTTTAGCTTTTAACTTTTGAATCTGTATGATGTAAATTAGAATAGATTTGGTCGTCTCAGAGAGCTCGAGGTGGGATCATCAAAGGCACCACACACATACCATTAGATCATCTGTTTACATCGGGGAGCCAATCAGAAGAAAGTTCAGCTAAAGGGAAAGCAGCTAAAAAGGTTCGTTCTAAACAATGGATAAACTGAGGGGCTGCACCGAGACCTGAGCAAGCATCAATGAGAATAATTTTGAACTGTTATTCGTGCAAAGCCATTGAGTCAGCTATATGTAGCTGTAACTGTAAATATGTAATTGAACCATTAAACCTTTTTTAAAAAAGCATCAAACATTAAACAAGCTCATGAAAACGAAGACAGTGTTAATGCAACAAATGACAAAAGTAGCTGTGAAGCGGTAGGAATGGCAGTTACTCACAGAGGAGAGTGCTGTGTTACTAGTAATAAAGCTGCGGCACCAGATGTGACTGCGGTTATTAACAGCACACCACTGAATATTATGATACATAAAGCATTTAAACTACATAATATCTCCATTCATATTAATACACCTACAGAACTCCTAAAGACACTGTTTAGTCTACTTTATACTTGACGTGACAGAAGAAGCATTGGTTTATTTTCTATTTGTAAGTAATGGTACCATTTCAGGGAAAAAACAGCTGTTTGGTAGTCCTTTGTTACTTTGATGAGGTTCATGTATAACAAACTAGGTTTATGGCTCTGACTGAGCTCAAACTGTCGAGTATGGAAGAAGAGAAACACTGATGATAGGCTTTATGGTGCAATATGTCACTAGAAAAAAAGCACTTTTTGACAGGAATACTTTGGTAGATTTCTTCCTTAATGGTAACTGCAGCATCTGGGAGTTTTAAAATTGCCCTACAAATGGATGCATCCCGTCGAGAGCAGATGAAAAAGTATGCTGAAGAGGGCCAAGCAACACCAAATAGTAAAATGTGAAGACTTCATTACTCCTGCAGTGCATTCAGATATATTCTTCATCTGCACCACATTACTTTGTGTTAGTACCTAAAGGTAACATTAGCTTTTCTTAGCCCTTAATTTACATCCGAGCTATTATGCAGGTGTTTGGGAGACAACTGGAATCAAGATTAGGCTTTAATAGAATTCGATGCAGATATTGTTGCTTTTCCACTGACACACAATAGGAAAACAGACCCTGCTCCATCTTCCCAGAAATAACCCCAACAGCAAACTATATCTAATTTAACATCTTACAAAACCAGTGCAGGCACTGTGAGGCACTTTTCTATCATCTTTCTCTCAATAGTAGAAAATTGCTACTCATTTTAAATAGAAGAATGGACGTGATTCGTCTGAAGACCTGCTGTGCACATAGAAAAGATGTGTGTAGATGTAAAAGATAGACGTAACCACTGGTGACATTATTCCCCGCTTTGTAGACTTGTTAACGTTTTGGCTGCGTGGCATGTGTCGGTTTGTGACCATATTTGGAGGACAGGGCGGGGTTATCAGTCAATCATCATCTTTAAATGGGAACTGACAAGTGGTTGTTAAAGGAACTGCAGTTTTTAGCACTTCTGTGTTGGCTTCATTTTTCAGCCTCTGCATACATGTTGCCATGCATCTCTACAGAGGTCAGTACTACATGAATGCAAATGTGTATGGGCACACAACAAGCCACCTTGTTGTGGGCTGCTCGCTCACTTAATGTTGTGGCGTGCGTGTGGAGTCAGCTATCTTAAGGAAGCAAATATATCAGACAATATTCAATCAATATTCAACTTATGCTTCAACTACCCCTTTGGCACTGGAAATTTGCACCAGATGGGCTTGAAACAAACCAAAGCAGATGTAGTGCGCCTTTGAAAAGCCCATCTCATGCACAGGAAACCCACAAATACCCAGGAAAAGACAGAAGACATCAATGGGCAAAAAAACCGCCTAAAAACGTATTTAATGGCTCTGACTGATATCTTTTTGAACCGATCAAACAATAGTTAATATTCAGATCCTGAAGCAACATAGAGTTGCTTCAGGATAGATAGATTCAGGAAATTATAAAATGTCAACAGTGTTTTAAGGGAATGCATAAAAACAGGACACATAACTCATTCTCAGTGAAGGGAGGAAAATCAGAGAGGAAATCTTTTTATTTATGACAGATATCTTAAGTGGTGATTTATAGCAGAGGTGAATGAGGCTTATAAGTTTAAAAAAATAAATAAATGCAGTAATTTGAGCATCAACCGGCCTCACTCAAGTTAAGTGGCTCAAATCTAAGAGGCAGGTTGAAATGTGCATATATTTACAGGATTGATTTGAATTTTTTTTCCGCCCCAGATGGTTTTCTGGAGTTGAAGCATTTCATTTCAAACAGGAGCACTGCGTGGGTTTAACACTGCAGCAAACCTGACAGTGTGGATTAACAGCTGCTTCGTGCTTAT